ACCTGCTGGCTTCTGACTTTGAGGAGGAGCTCAAGGTTGGGGAAACTTCTGGGCCTCAATCATACTCCAAGGAAAGCTAAACCTCAAGACTTCCGTCTGCATGATTGGGCTGAACTGCTAGGTTAGCAAGTGGCAGCCCTCTGGACAACTCATCTCAGAATCCTAAATCTGAGCAAAGAGCAAGTGTATCTCCCTACCATCCGCATATGCCTCAGTGTGTCTGCCATCATAATTCCCTCCAGACTTAAATTCTGAAGAGAAGAAATCAAGATCCATGTGTCTATTCATGCCCCACTCTTCTCTGGCTTCCCCTTCTCCCCACAGCCCATCAGGGCCAAAAGAGCTGGTCCTACTGTCTCCCTCTCCACTCCAGCCTCATGTCAAAGTCTTGGGGGCAGGCAAGAATGTTTTGTTTGTTTATAGTGTCAGGGGATCGCTAACTAGTACCATGTTGTAACTACTCCACCATCCAAGTGTCCTGCAAACAAGGGCAAGTGACTGCTCTCTCTTGCTCTGTGACAGTAAATCTCTAGACTCAGGCCAGAGATGGAAAGCTAGGGAACGCAATTTAGGGAAGTATTTATATTCAGTGTTTTAATATTTATAAAAACAAGTCCTATTTCACTAGGTAGCAAAGCCTGGAGTCAAATGCACTTCTGTCTGACTCAAGTCTTAGCACTTGAAGAAGTCATTCTTTCTGCTCAAGGTCAGCCTTGCTTTGTAATATATTTTTCAGCTTTAAAATTCCATCTACTTCAATGTAATTAAAACTTTCTTGAGGATCCATTAAGGACTCCTTACCATGCTTCTGATATGGTGAACTTATCCCTGCCTTCAAGAAGACTTAAATCCTTTGAGGCTTTCGCTGGCTCTGGTCCTGGGTTATCTCCATTCTCAACTTTGAACTTTATCCTTATTAAATGAACCCTCCTCAAATCTCTTAATTCGAGTGTGACTTCTGTTTCCTACTAGAATCCTGACTGATAAGATGTATGTGATTTAACTGCTTGAACTCATGTGGTGGATGGCTAGCTGAGTCGTGTGCCCTTCCATAGTGCAGAATTATTGCTGCTCAGCCCAGGGGTTACTGTCATTTCCCAGACTTCCTAGGGTCAGGAAAGCCCATATGACTGAAAGTGGACAAAGGAGATGTTCTTGCTAATAGACCTGGACCACGAAAGCTTCCCAACTCAATTCTAGTGCTCTCTCTGTCCTTGTTCACTAACATCTGAGGCTCTAGGGTAGGCAATCTTTTTTTTAAAATAATTTTTCTTCATTGATTTTAGCAAGAGAGGAAGGGAGAGAGAGAGAGATAGAAACATCAATGAGAGAGAACACTGATTGGCTGCCTCCTGCATGCCCCCCACTGGGGATGGGCCCACAACCTGGGCATGTGCCCTGACTGGAAATTGAACCAGTGACCTCTTGGTGCATGGGTTGATGCTCAACCACTGAGCCACACCAGCCGGGCTCTAGGGCAGGCATTCTTAATCATTTTGTGCAATGAAAGCCTGTGTCCCTTCTCAGGGTATTTTTTTAAATAAACATTTATTTTGGAATGAATTCAGAGAAGTTGTGAAGATAGTGCCTTAGTCCATTTGGGCAACTATAACAAAATATTGCAGGCTGGGTGGCTTATAAACAATAATTTTATTTCTCACAGTTCTGGAGGTTGGGAAGTCTAAGATGGAGGTGTCAGTAGATTGGGTGTCTGGTGAGGGCCCACTTCTTCATAGACAGCTGTCTTCTTACTGTCCCCTCTCACATGAAAGGGTGAGCGATTTCTTTGGGGACTCTTCATTGGTACAATCATGGGAGGCACTAATCTCCTCCCAAAGAGCCCACCTCCTCACACTATCTCCTAAGGGGGCAGGATTTCATATATGAATTTTAAGGGAAAATAAATATTCAGTCCATTGCAATAGTAGAAAGAATTTCTATATACTCCCTGTTCAGTTTTAGCTTCCTAATGTTATCATCTTACATTACCATGGTACATTTGCTGAAACAAACATTGGTACATTATTATTAACTAAACTTCAGACCTTATTCAGATTTCATCCATTTTTCCATTCACCACCTTTTTTCTAATCCAGCATACCACATTGTATCTGGTTATTCTGTCTCCCCCATTTCCTTTGGTCTGTGACAGTGTTTCAGTCTTTCTTTTTTTTCATGACTGGTCAGGTATTATGTAGAATTCCAGAATAATGTTTTAAATGTATAAAATAGGATTACAAAGTAAACAAATCATATTGAAATATAGGTATTAGTATTTTTTAAATTGTGATACAAAACTGCATGTGCTTTTTTATTAACACGTTAAATAACTAGATTTAGTGATGAGTCTAGTAACTATCTTAACTTTGAAATAGTAATGAGTATAAACATTATTTGGAGATTCTGCAACAACTGTAATATATAATATGAAAATGTCTGTGATTTCTCTTGGCGGCAAAGTCCTGGGTACTGATGACACTGCTGTGGTTTGTTGCCTACGTATAGCCTCAAGAAAATAAAGATGTACATTTTTTCCCATCCAAGTTTACAGGTTCTCTGAATCTGTGGCCTCCGTGACTGCCCGAAAAGGGATGGCAGAACCACAAGATGGGAGGAAGCTGTGTTCCGAATATCTGCATACAGCAGTGACTCCAACTCTCCCCAAATACATTTTGGATAAGTAAGAAATAAATCATCTGGGGGTCACACCATTGAGGTGTTGGGTTTATCACTTAAAGCAGCTAGCATTATCTTAACTGATATGGCCCATACTACTAAATTTTATACACACACATACACACACATGTAATAACTAATACGAAAGTATGTATATTTGTATTACTTGAAACTTCTTTTTCTTACAAGGAACCAAAAGCTTAACCAAAAAGGAAATGTTACAGCAAGAGTACTGAGGCATCTCACTGGATAAAAGGAGAGGTTAAATTATCAGGCTTCTTAAAAGGCAGGGGTTAAAGCAGCTCCAGGGACCTCAGCAAGAGGATTCTGGGGTGCTTGCCTCTTATAATAGTCCCTGCCATTAAATGACTCAGCTTCCAAGTCTGTCTCTGCATATCTCTGCTAAAATTCCTAAGCAAAGGAATCTGATTGGCTCAGCCAGCTGGAGTCAGATGTCCTCCTCTGGTCCCATCAGCTGTGGCCAAGGGTTTACTGTCCATAATAGAAACATGGCTATTGGGGGTCCATTATCTCTTGAATGGGAAAGGTAGTTTTAAAATAATAATAACAATATTATTATAACAAACATCTGAGCTTTTGCCATATGCCAGATACTCTCCTGTGTGCTTTATATGGATTATTTTAAACCTCCTCAAGCTTTTTGAGATAGGTAGATATCTTTTCTGAAAAGAATATAATGACCTTTTGGGATATCTTTCTTAAGAACACTGTGTGTAAGATCCTAAGAAGAAGAAATTAAAGGACAAAGAAGTTTACAAAAATGTTCAAGAGTCCACAATAATTAAATGTCAAAGCCGAGATTTACAGTGAGGCAGTCTAACTCCAGGGTCTGTTAGTGTTGCCCTATTACAGATGAGGAAAAGGACTCAGAAAGTCAACATTGCTTGCCCGTAGTTACAAGTTGCAGGGCCAAGATTTGAACATAGGAGACTGTCCCCAATGTCCATGTCCTTTCTTAATCTTGAAGGATGGATAAGTCAGAAGAGGCAAAGATGAGAAGGGAAGTCAGTTCAGGCAGTAAGAATAGAGAAGTACCTACACATATCAAAATCTGGGCAGCTTCCATTTCTGGGCTTGACCATACTTTGATTCTTTTCACTATTATGAGAGGGAAAGTTTAGCACCACAAATCAAAGAGTTTCTCCACTGAACGTAATGTCTAAACACTACTTCAAATCCACTCCTAAATTGGAGCTTTGTGTTTCTGGACACTCTTGAGCCAAGTGGGGGCTGAGCAACAGTACCAAAGAGACAAACAGAAGGGGGTGCCCAGGGCCTATGGCTGAGCCTCCATGAGGGCTATCTAGGTCTTTTGCTCTGGGAGCTAGAAGGGTTCCCTAATTCTGAATGTTGTCTTTTTTTGGGACCCCTATGGCAGAGGTTGAGGCCACTTATAGGCTTCTTGAGGCTTAATCCCATTAGTCTTTGCAGGAAAAATTGTTCTCACCTAGGTACTCTTAGATCTTAAACAAAAGGAGAAGTTACTCCTAGAAGGATTATCAGTAGGATGAAGCAAGTTTTCCAAACAAGGCTTGGAATATGTTTACATTATTCATTGCCCTTTATGCAAACATTTAGATAAGTTTCCAGAAAAGAATGCAGTGGCCTTTTTGAATTGCTTTCTTAAAAACTCTATGTTCTAAGATCCTAAGAAAGGAATTCCTAAAAGTCACTTCATTTCTTTTTCTTTAAAGAGAGATATAATTCACATACCATACAATTCATCCTTTTAAAGTGTACAGTTCAGCCCTGGTTGGTGTGACTCTGTTGGTTGGATCTCTGTCCTGTGTACTGAAAGGTCGGGGGTTCAATTCCCAGTCAAAGCACATAACTGGGTTGCAGGTTTGATCCCAAATTGGTGTGTGTGCTTGGGGCATGTACAGGAGGCAACCAATCAATGTTTCTATCTCACATCGATGTTTCTCTCTCTCTCCCTCCCTCCCTCCTTTCTACTCTCTCTAAAAAAAAAAAAAAAGTAATGGAAAAAATATCCTTGAGTGAGGATTAACAAAACAAAACAAAACCAAAAAAAAGTAGCAGCTGCCCTGACCAGTGTGGTTCAGTTGGTTGGGCCTTATCTGATGCACCAAGGGGTTGCTGGTTTGATTCTGGTCAGGGCACATGCCCGGGCTGTGGGCTTGATCCCTGGTTCAAGGAGTGCAGGAGGCACCCGATTGATGTTCCACTGTCACATCAATGTTTCTCTCTCCCTCTCCCTTCCCCTCTCTCTCTCAAAATCTATTTTAAAAATCTGTTTTTTAAAAAAAAATTTTAACATTATAATACAGATCAGCGCATCTGGTTCATTTCAGCTCCTTCACGGTCAAACCTGGGGGCAGAGACTGCTTCAGCTTCTCGGTCTTCTCTTTGTCCGTGATGACCAAGGTATAGAGGTATGTGCTGCACCGGACTCTAAACTTCACGTAATCCTTCTTTTTCTTGATCTTGACAGACTTGGCATCCTTCCGCCTGGCTGTGAGCAGAAAGTCCTTGATTTCCTCAACTTTGCCAGGCGTGGCTATGAGGCAAGGAGAGCGTGCGGCTGGCACAGCTGCGGCAAGAAGCAGCGAAGAAGAAAAAGCATTTTAAAAATCTTTTTGAAATTTTTTTTTTCCTTTATTGATTTTAGAGAGAGAGGAAGGGAGTGAGAGAGAGAGATAGAAACATCGATGAGAGAGAACATCGATTGGCCACCTCCTGCATGCGCCGCACTGGGGATCGGACCCACAACCCGGGCATGTGCCCTGACCGGGAATTGAACCGGTGACCTCCTGATCGATAACACTCAATCACTGAGCCACACTGGCCAGGCCAATTTAAAAATCTTAAAAAAAAAACACGAGCAGCAGATCTGAATAGACACTTCCCTAAGGAAGACATACAGATAACCAAAGGTACAGAAAAGAGGCTCAACGTCACTAATCATCAGGGAAATGCAAAGCAAAACCATAGTGAGAGGTCACCTCTCACCTGTTAAAGTGGTTATTATAAAAAAGAAACAAGAGTTAATGGAGTACTATGCAGCTGTAAGAAAGAAAGATCTCTTATCCTTTGAGACGACATGGAGGGACCTGAAGAGTATTATCCTAAGGGAAACAAGCCAAGCAGAGAATTACAAATATCACATGATCTCACTTACTAGTGGAATATAATGAACATAACAGTCTGAGGAACAGGTTGACCCAGAGACATGGAAGTGGGGTACAGACTGACAATCCTCACAAAAGGCAGTGGAGGGGAGGGAAGAGATAAACCACAGAACTTATATGCTTGTACGCATAACCAATGGACATGGACAACAAAGCTGGGGACGGGAGGTAGATGGGGAGGAGGGTGTCAATGGGGAAAAAAGGAGAAACATCTGTAACAAAAATAACTTTTTAAAAAAAGAAAGAAACAAGTGTTGGTGAGGATGAACAGAAAAGGGAACAGTTGTGCACCATTGGTGGGAATGTAAATTGGTGCAGCCTCCATGGAAAACAGTATGAAGATTCTTTTAAAAATCAAAAATAGAACTATCATGTGACCCAGCAATTCCACTTCTGAATATTTATCCAAAGAGAACAAAAACACTAACTCAAAAAGATATCTGCATCTCCATGTTCATTGCAGCATTATTTACAATTGCAAAGATATGGAAACAATATCCATGTCCATGGATGAATGAATGGATGAAGACAATGTGACATATATATGAATATTATTCACCCATAAAAAAGAATGAAATCTTGCATTCAAGGTCCAACATGGTAGACCTTGGGGTCATTATGCTAAGTGAAACATGTCAGACTGAGAAGGACAAATACAATATAGTCTCACTTATATAAGGAATCTGAAAAAAAAATGGAGCTCATAGATACAGAGAACAGATTGGTAGTTGCAGAGGTGGGGTGTAGGGAATAGGTGAAATGAGTGTAGGGGGTCAAAAAAGAAAAACAAATCTGGCAGAGCACATTTGTAACATAGTTTAGAAAGCAATTTATAGAAACTTAATAGCCCTGGCTGGGTAGCTCTGTTGGTTAGAGTGTTGTGGGTTTGATCCCCAGTCAGGGCACATACAAGACTAAGTGGAATAACAAATTGATCTTTCTCTCTCTTTCAACATCAATAAATAAAAATTTAAAAATTTGAGCCGGTTTGACTCAGAGGTTAAAGCTTCGGCCTGAGGACCTAAGGATCACAGGTTCAATTCCCAGTCAAGGGCACATACCTGGGTTGCAGGTTTGATCCCTGGCCCCCTATCGGGGTTGTATGGGAGGCAACCAGTCGATGTGTCTCTCTCACATCAGTGTTTCTTTCTCTCTCTCTCTCTCCCCTATTTCCTTTCCACTCTGTCTAAAAATCAATGGAAAAATATCCTCAGGTGAGGATTAACAAAAAAAAGAAAAGAAAAAGAAAAACCTGTTAATAGTCCCATATAACTTTTTTTTAAATGTTTTTTCTTTATTGATTTTAGAGAGAGAGGAAGGGAGAGGGAGAAATAGAAACACTGGTGAGAGAGAACATCTATTGGCCGCCTCCTGTATGACCCCCACTGGGGACTGGGCCCACAACCCGGGCATGTGCCCGACTGGGAATCGAACTGGTGACCTCCTGGTGCATGGGTTGACACTCAACTACTGAGCCACACTGGCGGGGCCCATATACCTTTATTTTTAAGCTGCAGTGCTTCACTCATTATTGCACATGAGATTGTACAATTCAATTACCAAATTGAAACTTTATCCAGAAGAACCCATCTGGTGTTGGGGATGGTGGTGATATTTGTCAGCATAGTGAATGTAATTGTCCATGTTAAAGTTAATTATCTGTTAGCTGACCAAAATAATAAAAGGATGGAGCTTAAAAAATTAATGCGGCCCAGCTGGTATGGATCAGTTGTTGAGCATAGACCCATGCACCAGGAGGTCTCCGGTTCAATTCCTGCTCAGGGTACATGCCCAGGTTGTGGGCCCAATCCCCAGTGTGGGGCATGCAGGAAGCGGCCAATTAATGTTCTCTCTCATCAATGTTTCTATTTCTCCCTCGCTCTCCCTTCCTCTCTCTCTAAAATCAATAAAGAAAAAATATTTTTAAAAAATTAATATGATATGATTAAGAGAAGACAAGGATTTCTCAACTCCTAAATTCAATCTTCAAAAGATGAAAATGTACTATATTAATGACAGTACACTGTGAGTAGAGAGAGTATCCAAAAATGGTTAGAAATTGCTAAGATTTTGTTTTTGGGGTTAATCACTTTTTTTGGAGACATCTTGAGTCATCAGCATTCTTTGCAGACCAGAACTGTAAACAATACTTTAGCTTTCAAAATATAGGAAAAAGTGGAAAAGCTTCACACACAAAAGAAAAGGGAGGGAACCCTAGCAAAGTAGTAGAATGTTTTATTTTTTATTCTGAAGGTAGAAGAAAAAAAATTTTTTTTTTATCCTCACCCGAGGACATTTTTCCATTTTTTGTTCAGATAGAGTGGGAGGGAGAGAGAGAGAGAGAAACATCAACGTGAAAGGGACACATGGATTGGCTGCCTCCCACGCGGCCTTGACCCAACCAGGGCCGGGGACAAACTGCAACCGACATACACACCCTTAGCGGGAACCGAACCCAGGTCTTTCTGGACTGCAGGCCGACACTCTAACCGTTGAGCCAAACCAACCAGGGCTGAAGGTAGAAATTCTTAACTAGAGAAACAAGTTACATGATGTATAGAGTCCAATAATTTTGAAAAATATCTTAAAATTCTCTTTTTCTATGATTCAAAAAAAAAAAAAACAAGACCACACAGCTTCACCTCATGTTATACAAAAGGTCTGTTCTTGAAAAAGCAAAAGTGTAATTTTTGAAAATTAAATATTTTTGATGTTTGAAAGTTCTTTGACTTAAAAGAAAAATCAGAATGGCTTTTTCAGCAGCTGTGAAGCTATGGAGATCCCGGCCAGGCGGAGTATGTCAGATCTCATTGTCCTCTCAGCGCTTCGACCCTCCTCAGAAGGCCCTCAGAAAAATTGGTTTCATCCTAAAAAAAACAAAACAAAAAAATCAGAATGATCTTTGAGTAGAATTCTTCTCCTAAGTAATAGACAGTAGGGTTCTTAGCCTGCTCCACTCTACCTAAAATGCAAATTAAGTCAGATCTTTTATTTCAAATACTTGTTGAAAGATTTGAGTTCTTGTTGCTTTTTCTGTATGCCCTGAATCCTCATGTAAAATAATGGAATATGACAAAAGAGGAGAGAAAATATATCTAAATAGAGCTTGAACAAAATATAGAGCTTTGAACAAAAGTTCAAAGCCACTATTAAAACAATAAAATTGCCTTTTTACTTTGCAAATAAATTATTCAATGAATATTTTTTTATGCCTGTTATGTGGCAGATACTGTGCTAGGTATAGAACGTAGATACACACAATGAGGGAAAATGGACACTTCATACAATGTTGGTGGGCATATAAATTAGCACAACATTTCTAGAGAGTAATTTGGAAATGGCTATTTAAAACTTTTGTTATAATAATTGCATATCTGAAAAGTAATCAGATATATTTTCAAAGATATAACTACTAGGATGTGCTTTATACTATTTTTCTTATTATTGTTTTGAAGAAAGAGAGAGAGAGAGAGAGAGATCTAGAAACATTGATGAGAGGGAACATCAATCGGCCGCCTCCTACATGCCTCCCCTTAGGGACTGGGCCCACAACCTGGGCATGTGCCCTGACCAGGAATCGAACTGGCGACCTCTGGGTACATGGGTTGACGCTCAACCACTGAGCCACACCAGCCAATCTATACTATTCTTTTTTAAATAACAAACCAAAACATAAAGTCAATTTTAAACAGTGGGGATTGGTTAAATATTATACAGTTATTAAAATTCATGCTGAAGAACAATAATATACCTAATAGTATAATATAAAATATTATCTTGATTATGTCAATAAAAATATTATATGAGGTATGTATGCTCAGGAAAATATTTAAAGGGATATGTGCCAAGATATGAACTGTGATTATCTCTAAGTAGTGGATTATAAGTGATTCATTTTATCAGAGCCTAGCATTGTACCTAACAGATATGGACAGTGTTAAAGAACATGTCTTTGTTGATTGCTTTGTTGATTGCTATTATAGGAGACTCTGATGGCTTTTTGCCCCACATCCATTTACCTTTCTCTTCCTCCTAGAATCTCCAACTTTATTCAGATGCAACACTCTTCTAAGAAGCCTTGTGGTTTGGGGAGGCTAGTCCCAACCCCTTTCTCAGCAATAATTCCCAATTGATCTAAGGCTTAGTCTCTAAACCAGCAATTTTCAATCTTTTTCATCTCATGGCACACATAAACGAATTACTAACATTCTGCAGCACACCAAAAATATATTCTTTGCCAATCTGACAAAAAAATATATAGGTATAATTTTAATTCATTCACACTGAATGGCTAGTGTTGTGTTGGTTGTTGTCACTTCTTTTATTTGACAATCTAAGGGGAAAGAGGTCAGTGCCCCTGACTAAAATGTCAGGTATTGCATGTTTTAAAAATTCTTGCAGCACAACAGCTGAAAATCACTACTCTAAGGTAATTGTAGTTATACCAGTCCCCTTTAAAAGTAGGTATGTGGCCCTGGCCAGTTTGGCTCAGTGGTTAGAGTGTTGGCCTGCTGTCCAGAGAGATCCCAGTTCGGTTCCCGCTAAGGGCACGAACCTCGGTTGCAGTTTGGCCCCAGACCTGGCTGGGTCATGTGGGTGGCAGCCACTTGATGTGTACCTTTCACGTTGATGTTCCTCTCTCTCCCCCCCTCTCTCTCCTTCCCACTCTATCTGAACAAAAAATGGGAAAATGTCCTTGGGTGAGGAAAAAAAAAAAAAGTTGTCTAAAACAGAACAGGGTCTCCAAGAATTTGAGGAAGTGAAGAATTTATAAAAATATGTTTTTGTGAAAACTTTGATCAGAACATGATAAAAGAATTTGTTTTCTTCTTCATCTAATTAAATAACTACTATTTCATATTTTTAAGTATTTCTTTTAGATAAATTTTTGTTTGACAAAAAGATTCAAGGCAAATATAATTTTTTATTTCCAAAATTTAAAAGTAACTCACTAATCATTCTCTAAAATTTTACTCTTTTCTAAATCTTCCAATACATTTTTTTTTTTTGAAGTACACTGTTGGGAGACTTCACAATTATAACATTTTACTTTCATGTAGCTAAATCTTTGAAGTAATCAGATTATAATTCAACTTAATTTGCTCATGACATTTATATAAAAGTAGATAATTTTATAGAAATCTATCTTGTTTAAAACAAGATGAGCCCTGGCCAGTTTGGCTCAGCAGTTAGAGCGTCGGCATGCAGTCCAGAGAGACCTGGGTTGGGTTCCTGCTAAGGGCATGTACCTTGGTTAAAGTTTGTCCCTGGCCCTGGTTGGTCGTGTGGGTGGCAGCCACTTGATGTGTGCCTTTCATATCGATGTTTCTCTCTCTCTCTCTCTTTCTCTCTCCCTCCCACTCTATCTGAACAAGAAATAGAAAAATGTCCTTGGGTAAGGATAAAAAAAATTTTTTTTTAAATAAAAAACAAGATGAAAAATTAATTATTTGGTTAAAAGTATTAGAGGAGTGATTCAGCTTTAATATCTTCTTGATTTATTTTATTTTATTTTATTCTTTATTGATTGATTTTATTTACTTTTATTTATTTATTTATTTTTTTATCCTTACCCGAGGACATTCTTGCGTTCATCTTCAGACAGAGTGGGAAGGAGAGAGAGGGAGTAAGAGAGAGAGAGAGAGAAACATTGATGTGAGAGAGACACATTGACGGGTCGCCACCCGCACGACCTCAACCAGGACCGGGAATGAACCACAACCGAGGCACATGCCCTCAGCGGGAACCGAACCCGGGACTCACTGGTCCAAAGACCGATGGTCTAACTGCTGAGCAAACTGGCCAGGGCTGACTTTATTTTTTTAATAAAGGGAAAGAGAGAGAGAAACATCTATGTGAGAGAGGCACATCGACTGGTTGCCTCCCACATGACCCCGACCAGGGCCAGGGACTGAACCACAACATATTGATTCTAGAGAGACACAAAGGGAAAGGGAGAGAGATAGAAATACCGATGAGAAAGAATATCCATTGGTCGCCTCCTGCATATCCCCCACTGGGGATTTTGCCCACAACCTGGGCATGTGCCTTGACTGGGAATCAAACCGGCAACCTCTTGGTGCATGGGTTGACGCTCAACCACCGAGCCACACCGGCCGGACTTGATTTATTTTACAAGTAATAGAAAAATCTGTTATGTGAGCTTATCTTAATTTCTTTTCTTTTGATATCCCTTAATTTCTCTAACTGGCTTTTTTATAGCTGTTAGTATTCGTTACTGATAATTACTTTTTATCATTCACAGGTGAGACCTTTGCTCAGAAAGGAAGGCTTGGGTATTAGTGAACAACTTAATTATTTCAAGGTTGGGTTCTCTACTTGTATGAGTTTTTAGCTACTGATTTTATTTATTTTTTATCCTCATCTGAGGACATTTTTCCATTTTTTGTTCAGATAGAGTGGGAGGGAAAGAGAGGAAGAGAGAGAAAGAGAGAGAGCGAAACATAGACATGAAAGGGACATATCGAGTGGCTGCCACCCACACAACCCAACCAGTGCTGGGGACAAA